GGTGACGTCCTTGTGCTCCTCGAACATGGCGGAGGGGATGAAGGGGCGGCGCACATCCCACACGTAGATGTTGTGGTCCACCATCATGGAGCAGGTGGCGATGTGGTGCTTGCACTCGGGGCGCCACTTCACCCGCGCCACCGAGGCGATGGTCTGCACGCAGTAAATCTCCTTCGCCCGCGTCGTGTTCATGTCCCACACCTTCACCATCTTGTCCCGGCCGCCCGTGGCCAGCCAGCCCCTGCGAGAAGGATGGAGGAAGATGGAGAGGTGGCAGTGTGGATCTGTGCCCCCACCCTGGCACAGAAACACTCACAGCACAGACCGACCACGTCCAGGCCACGGGGAGGCAGCCGGCCTGCAATCCCATCCTCCCAAGTGCTCCACTGGCACCTCCTCTCTCCAACAACCAGGTCAGGCAACACCCTTCTTCCCATCCCCACTTAGGGCCCTGCACCTTTAGAGCCACACTCCCAGTCAGACCAGTTCCCACAGTCCGAGAACACACACCCTTGGCATACCCTGGCTCCCCCACTTGCTGTACCTGACCATTAGCAATCCAGTGCCTCAAAATCCCCTAATTTGTCAAAGAAAGCCCCCAGAACACCCCAACGTGGCCTCAAATCCTCAAAGCAACAGTTGCTCCCACCTTCCAGCAACGTCCCAGCCCTTGGCCCAGTGACCAAGATACCAGAGACACTGATTTCTCTCCTGAAAGTTCTCAACCCCTCTTTCAGGGCCTCCCTCATCCCTGCGAGACCAGGTGGTTGCTGGGGCCCAGCCCACCCCCACCTGTCCTCCAGGTGCCAGTCGCAGCAGAAGACAGGCCCGTTGTGGGCCGTGAACATCCTCTCGTAGCGGTCGGGCCGCCGGATGTCCCACAGCTGCACGTTCCCGTTCTCGAAGGTGGCGGCGAAGGTGAAATAGTCCCGGATGCTGAACTGCACGTCACGCACGCTCTCCGACTGGCCTGAGGGGACAGGAGGTGACATCTGGTGGGACAGAGCTCCAGCAGAGCTATAAAGTCCACCGAGGGAGCCCCTGGGGGTCCCTGGTTTAGAGGGAAGGGGAGGCAGGGAGTGATGTGACCACCTTCCATCTCATCTCCATCGCACTGCTGAGAGCGACAGAAAAGCATCAGAACGCCTCTCAGCTCCCTCCCTCCCTGAGCACGAGCAAACCTTCCTCAACCTCTGCCTCCCCCAGGGAAAGAGGACAAGCACAGGAAGGGCGAAGCCCTCAACCCCTGCCTGCCCCAGGAAGCGAGGGAACCGGCAGCCGAGCACGTGCGTACCGGAGAAGGTGCTGACAGAGTCCTTCTTGCGCAGGTCGAAGCACTTCATGTACCCGTCCTGGGAGCCGCTGAGCAGCATGTACACCTCGGTGGGGTGGAAGCACACCTTGTTCACCGTGCGCTTGTGCTCCGTGAACAGCTGGTCCTGCTTGTTGCGGGACGGCTTGCCCAGGTTCCAGGTGACCACCACGCCGTTGGTGGCGGCCGTGGCCAGCAGGTTCTCGTCCATCTGGTGCCACACCACGTCGGCGCAGCTGAAGTTCAGCGAGGGCTTGCGGCCCACGCGCAGGTTCAGCTTCTCCACGAACTGCTCCTCCTCGATGGAGTAGATTTTGAAGATGTTGCGTCCGGCCACCACGACCTGCGCGGCGTCGCGGCACACGCTGATGGCGTTGGCCGGGGCGTCCAGGTGGCAGAACATGGTGCGGCCGCTCAGGGCGTTGCCCCCCAGGGCCGTGGTGACCCTGGCCATCTTCTCCATGGCCGTCCTCGGGGCACCGTCCCCTCTCCAGGAGCAGGCTCGCAGGCTCGCGTCCCCACAGGCCGCCTGCTCCCCCTCAGCCAGAGCTGGGCAGGGCCAGGCGGGGCTCCCGCAGCTCCTGCCGGGCCCTGGCGGCTCCGCCCGCGGCTTGGTCCAGCTGCATCAACGGGCTGTGAGGAGGGAGATACAGCCTGGGCTGGGCTCTCCTCTGCTGCCTGCTGTGACTCCCTCTCAGGGAGCTCCTGACAACCTTTGCTGGGTTCCTTCTTCCCTCTTCCGTTACACTCCGAGGTGTTTCAGTGGTGAGAGCTGCTGACGGCAGAGGTTTGACTGCAGCGCCGTGGGTCGAGGTGAGCAGTGTCTGCAGCACGGAGTGGGGTGAAGTGAGGGACAGGCACCTCCACAGGGCACTGCCTGCACTCCAAACCCTGCAGGAAGCAGAGCTTCACCCTCCTTCTCTAGCAGAAGGGACCCAGCAGTTACTCTGGGGGTGCCCTGAGGGGTTCCCAGGGTCCCCCAGAGCCACGCTGAGCTCCTGCCGCGGCACTGCCATCTCCAGCCCCCTCACACCCTACACTCCCACACCCTACACTCCCACCCCCTCAGGGTCTCCCAGCCTCCCAGGGCCCCCTCCCGCCCCTCAGCACCTCCTCCTGCCCCTCAGGGCACCCTCAGAGGCCCCTCCCACCAGGTTCCGCTGCCCCCCGGCCCCGGCCCACCCCCGGTGCGGGGTCCAGTACCCGGTGCGGGGTCTCCAGTGCCCGGTGCCGCTCCCGGGTCCCCAGTGCCCGGTGCGGGTCCCCAGTGCCCGGTGCCGCTCCCGGGTCCCCAGTACCCGGTGCGGGGTCTCCAGTGCCCGGTGCGGGTCCCCAGTGCCCGGTGCCGCTCCCGTCCCCGCCCGCAGCCCGGGCCGCGCAGGCCCCGCGGCCGCCACGGAACTGCCGCTGGGCCACGCCCCCTTCCGCCACAGAGACCCGCCCCCTGCATCGACCGCGCCCATTAAGATGGCGGGATAACCCCTCCCGGGCCACGCCCCATCCCGGGCCACGCCCTACCACACCGCCCTCCGGACCAGGCCACGCCCCTTTTTTCCCTTTAGACCCGCCCCCTGCAGCGAGACCACGCCCCTGCGCACGTCCCACCAAAGCCCTCAGGCCCCGCCCACCCTCGCTTCACCTCAGGCAGGCCCCGCCCTCCCACCAGGCCCCGCCCCCCTGATTCAGCCCCGCCCCCGTGTCAGGCCCAGAGCGCTGGGACAGCGGGGGGGGGGGGGGGGGGGGGGGGGGGGGGGGGGGGGGGGGGGGGGGGGGGGGGGGGGGGGGGGGGGGGGGGGGGGGGGGGGGGGGGGGGGCGGGCAGGTGGGTTACCGGGGGTACGGGGGGCAGGTGGGATATGGGGGACATGAGGGCACGGGTGATATGGGGGACACGGGGGCACGGGTGATATGGGGGACACGGGGAGAGGCGGGGCCTGGTGGGAGCGGCTGTGTCAGGGGGACGTGGGATGCAGTAGGGGATGGGCGTGCAGGGGAAAATGGGTGTCAGTGGGATTTGGGGTGCATTGGGCTTGGGGGTGCAGGGGAAAATGGGGGTTAAAGGGATGTGGGGTGCATTGGGGGTCAGGATACAGGGTGGGAAATGGTGGTGCGTTAGGGTTGTATGGATGCACTGGAGGGATCTGGGGGAGCACAGGGGAGTGGGGATGCACTGGGGCAATGGGGGTGCACTGCCGTGGGGGAGTGTGGGGAGGTGATATGGTGTACATTAAGGACGGGGGTCACGGGGATAAGGGGGTCCATTGAGGGTCAGGGTGCAGGTTGGGAAATGGGGGTGAGTGGGATATGGGGCGCATTGGGGGTGGGAGTGCCAGGGAGATGGGGGGACTGGGGGACTGGTGGTACCGGGGGGGATGTAGGGTGCGTTGGGGATGCGGGTGCAGCGGAAAATGGGATTCGAGGGGCTGTGGGGTGCATTGTGGTTGTAGGGATGCAGTGGCGGGATCTAGGGGTGCAGAGGGGAGTGGGGATGCAGAGGGGCTATTGGAGGCACACTATCATGGAGGAGTTGCAAAGGACAGTAAGGGGATACCCCAGCCCGGGGCTTGGGGCCGTGTTAGGGCTGCCTGTGTAACGTGGGATTGTAGGGGTGATACCCCCCCAACTGTTGCTGTCCCCTGCAGGGGTGGCGGGACCCTCCATGTGCCACCTGTCCCCGGCTCCTGGCACCTGTGTCCTAGCACCCGTGTGACACCGACAGGTACCAGTGGGTTTGAGGGGGTGCAGGCAGCCCCACACCCCCCTGCCGGGGTGCTCCGTGCCCCAGCAGCGCCACCCTGTCCCACAGCCCCCGTGGCCCCAAACCCCCTTGCGCCATTTTGGGGCCAGAAAGGGGCGTTTAGGACAAAAGAGAGAGCGCAGGCGGCTGTTGGTGCAGCAGTTCCTTCCCGGCCGGTACAAAGGCAAAACAAACCGAAAGCGTGTCCGTGTCCGTGCCCATGTCCATGTCCACATCCATGCCCACACTCCTCCCGGCGCTGCTGTGACAGCGGACGATGTCCCGGGATGGCCACCGAGCCCCCTCGTGCGCTGGGTCCCCGCGGTCACCCAGCCCCGTCCCGGCTCGGTCCCGGCTCGGCTCAGCCCGGGGTCCCCCCCGTGCCACGGGCGTGGGGCGATGGCTTTTCAGCTGGAGGAGCAGTGGCGGTGGCAGTGTGTCCTGGGTGCCACCTGCTGCCTTTTCTCGGTGCTGGCGGTCCCCGCGGTGGCTCAGCCCAGCCCCTGGTCCCCCGGGATGTCCCATCCCAGACGGATGGGTCCCTCCTCCTCCTCCATCCCCCAGGGCGAGGGAGGTGCTGGCCAGGAGAGCCCGGCTCCCTGGGCAGGGTCCGGCCGTGTGGAGTGGCTCAGTGGGGGCTGTCACTTTGTCACCGTGCCCCCGGGTACCCCGAAACCTGCCATAGCACGAGACTGAAGCAAGCGAGCATGCGAGGGCGGCGGGCGGGCGGAGAGGAACATCCTATTCACCAGGAGAAAGCGCCCCAAAGGCAGGGCTGGGGGCTGGGGGGGACACACAGCACGGGGGGGGGTGGGCTCGGTGACCCGCTCCGGGGGTGCGAGGGGACCCATTCAGCCTCCACCGCCACCCACGGGTGCCAAAATTGAGCATCCTCCTCTCGCCCATCCCTGGGAGCATCCTTTGGCCCCCAGGAGCGTCCTTAGTGTCGGCACCCGGGCCAAGGGAGCAGGATGCGGCCGGGGGGGTCACACAGCGTCGCCTTCCCGCTTTGGGTTTCCATGATGTCCGTCTGTCTGTCCGAAAGGGCTTGGCAGGACACTGGGAGGAGACTGGGCGATGGCGGCGGTGCGGGGGGAATTTACATCGTACCCGGGGGGACTCCGGCGAGGCGCGACGCCGTCCCCCATCTCCTCCCGGAGCCCCCTGTCCCTCGGGGTAGTCAGTGTGGGGGTTGTCCTGGGTCGGCTGGAAGCGAGGGCATCTCTCGTGTCCCCCAGCGGCCGGGAGGAGATGGGGTGGGCGATGGTGGCCGGGGTGGGCGCGGCAGCGGGCGGCCGGACCCGCCGCTACTCGATCACCATGCAGCACGGGAGGTGCTGGGAGAAGTATTTGAAGAGCTCCGGGGTGGCCCCGGGACAGTTGGTGAGTTCCAACTCCTCCAGCTCCTGCAGCTGCACCAGCCCCGACAGCCCCGTGGTGGTCAGCAAGGGACAGCCTGCAAGGAAACAGGGTGCACCGTCACCCCAAAGCATCGGCACCCCCAAAAATAGCATCCCAAAGGCATCCCAGAACACTAAGATCTGCACAAATAGCACTCTAAAGGATCAGCTCCCCAAAACCCCAGCACCACAAACATACCCATACCAAATGAAAAGCACCTCAAAGCCCAGCACTCCAAAACACTCCAGAACCCTCAAAAAACCAGAATAAAACCCCCTGACAAGCTAAAAAAATGGTACTGCCACCCCCCCAGGAAACCCCCCAAAATCACCCAAAATACCAGCACTCAAAAAAATCACCCCAACACCGTGAAACAAAAATAAATACCATAAAGCACCAGTACCCCCAAAAAACCAGCATCCTAAAACATCAATAACCCCAAAACTAGCACCCAAAAAACCAGAACCCCAAAAATCAGCATGCAAAAAGAAGTACCCAAGACACCCAAAAAAAGACCAGCCAAAAAAACCAGCACCCCAAAACACCAGCACCCAAAAGCAATTGTATTCAAAAAAGCCCCCCAAAACCCCAGCATCCCAAAACCCAGCACCCCAAAGCACCATTATCCCCAAAAGATCACCCCAAAAACAGGACTTCAAAAACCAACACCCTAAAAACCAGCACCCAAAAAATCCCCATCCCAAAAAACACAGCACCCCAAGAGCCCAGCCATGGACCCCTCTCCACAGAGCTGTGCTGGGTGTGGGTGCCTGCTGGCTCAGGGTGGGGGGTGCTGGCTGTCCCCAGGCTGTCCCCTGGCTTGTCCCTGTCCCCACACTCATTCTCTCTGCAGCCCCACGGGGTCCTGTTCCCCTGGTCCCTGGGCTGGGGACGTGTCTCACCAGCCAGCGAGAGGAGGCGCAGGCTGCTCATGCCCAGGAGGTGCTTCAGGCCAAAATCCTGCACCTGGAAAAGAAAAGGGAATGAGAATGGGGTGGACAGTGAGGGGACCAACAACACTGGGGCTCAGCATCACTGGGACAGTGAGCCTGGGCAGGGTGCAGGATTCTGGGGGAGGGTGCTGGGGCAGGGTATGGGGTGGGGGTACGGGGTGCGGGTACGGGGTGCAGGGAGCTGGGACTGGGAGCTGGGTGCTGGGGCAGGGAGCCTGAGCAGGATGCAGGATGCTGTAGCAGGATGCTGGGGGCAGGGGCAGGGTACTGGGTCTGGGTGCAGGGAGCTGGGACAGAGAGCCTGGTGCTGGAGCAGGATGCTGGGGCAGGATACTGGGGCTGGGCAATACTGGTGCTGGGTCTGGGTGCCAGGGCTGAGTCCTGCTGAGTTCACAGGAGTACCCCCTTCCCTGCACCAAGCCTTGGGGCCTCCAGCCGGCCTGTGGAGCCCACCCTGAGCTCATGGCCCATCCCCGGGGAGGTGCCACCCTGCCCTCCCCGCTGTGCCAAGCTGTGCTCCCCCACCTACCTGGCAGCACCAGCGCAGGTAGAGGCTCCGCAGGGACGACATGGTGGACAGGTAGCTGAGGCCGGTGTCGGTGATCCGCACGCACCTGCCGGGGACAGGGGAGTCAGGGCTGGCCAGGAGTGGGGCACCCAGGGGTGTCCCCAGACCACGGCCTCCATGCTGCACCCTCTGCTTCCAGCGCAGCTCAGCACAGCATGGTGTGGCATGGCATGGTTTGTCATGGTGTGACACGGCACAGCATGGCTCAGCATGGCATGGCACAGCATGGCTCAGCATGGCATGGCACAGCACGGCATGGCAGGGCTTGGCTTGGCATGGCATGGCATGGCATGGCATGGCATGTCTCAACATGGCTCAGCATGACATGGCACGGCTTGGCATGGCACGGCACAGCCCAACACGGTTCTGCACGTCCCCGTACCTGTCGAGCACCAGCTCCTCCAGCTTGTGCAGGTCGCAGGCGATGTACTCCAGGGCCATGTCGGTGATGCGAGGGCACCAGGAGAGGTCGAGGCTGCGCAGCTTCCGCAGGTTCTCGGCCACCAGCTCCACCCCGTCATCCGTCACCTTGGAGCAGCCCGAGAGGCTGAGGACGCTCAGGTTGGGCAGGCTGTGCACCATGTTGACCACGCCGTGGTTGGTGATCTCCCAGCAGGAGTTGAGGCGCAGGGTGTGGGTGGTGTAGCCCTGCTTGGCGGTGAAGTAGGCGAGCGCCGTGTCCGTCACGTGGTAGGCCTGCAGGTTGAGCTCGGTGAGGTTGGGCAGGAGCTGCGAGATGGCGGCGATGGCGTCGTCGGCCACGTTGATGCAGTCGCTGACACTCAGGGCCGTGATCCGGGCGTTTAGGCTGGACCACAGCCCCGCCTCCGTGAAGTCGTTACAGCCCGACAGCTCCAGCCGCACCACGCCCTGCATCTGCTCCAGCATCACCTGCCGAGGGTCAGGGGGTCAGGGCATGGTGGGCACTGCCCTGTGCTCTGAGCAGCCCTGCCCGCCCCAGATCCCTCTGAGCCCCCCGTGGCTCTGCTCTCAGTCCTGCCTGGCTGCAGCCTCCTCCCTGGGACCTCCCTGGTGCAGGACACACCAGCACTGGTGAGGAGTGGGAGGGGACACTCAGGGACTCCCAGGCACAGCCCCGGTGCTGTACCAGGTGCTGTCTGCAGAGTCAGGATCGATGCCTGCTCCCAACACAGGAACTGCTCAGGTAAGATGCGCCCATGGAGCAGCTGGTGCTGTGTTTGGCCATGGTGCAAGGCAGGGACCTCAGTGGGGACCTTGCCAGGCCCTGTGCGGGACCATGAGTTGCCCCATCTCTGTCTGACCCTCAGCCCCTTGCTCAGGTCACCCCCCATTGCTGGGAAGCAGCCAGCCAAGCGGGAATGTCCCCATCCCCTGAGTCCTGCTTGTCACCCCTTGCCATATCCACTGCCCAGCAGCACCTTGCCTGGCTGTGCCTTCCTGGCAGCATCCATGGGCAGCAGGGATGAACCCCCCCCGGCAGCATCCTGACCCCCTGCCTGCACCCATCCCACTGCCCAGACCACAGGCAGGGGCTCCCAGTGCTGCCCACACCTGTAGGATGGCCATGCCACCTGCCTGCCCCTTTCTTGCTACCAGAGAAAGCCCTACCCTCATGTGTGTCCCCAGGACCACCAGGAGTGACACACCATCGTTACCTCGCCAGGGTCACCTACCTCCAACCCTGCATCTGTGATGGTCGACCTCTTAAGGCTCATGGACTTGACCCCCTTCTTGGAGAGGGGGTAGTTGTCAATGAACTCACAAATGTCCAGGTCGGAGACGCCCACGAGGCAGAAGCCGTCAAAGCCACGGACGGCGAAGCCCTGCAGGCTGACAAACTCCTTCTCCCCACCGGGCAGGATGTTGTAGAGCTCTTTGGTGTGCAGGACGGGTGTCAAGCCCACCCAGAACTTGGGCTGGTAAAGCACCCGCCGCCACGCCTTGCACACCTGTGCCAGCACGCACTTCTCACACGCCGAAAAGTACCAGAACAGGCGGTTCAGGATCTTCTCGTCCACCGCCAGCTGCCTTTCCGAGGGCGAGCCCGGCAGCCGCTCGGGCGAGGGCTGCTCTGAGCCTTCGCTGGCGTTCAGTCCCACCAAGGAAGCGCCGGGAGGGGAGGACACGCTGGCCAGAGCAGCCAAGGAGAGCGGGGAGGCCAGGCTGGGGATGGGCAGGTCGCTGCGGTGGGCTAAGGCCGGGCTGAGGATGGCAGGCACGGAGGAAGGCTGGCACAGGCGGTTTTTCATGGCGGGGGTGCCTTTGGTGATGCTGGCGGAGCCGAGGCCGTTGGGTTGTGTGGGGATCTTCACCAGTCCATTGCGGGGCAAACATGGGGGCTTGGTGTCGCCGTTTCTCGGGTTCGACATCTTCCACAGGTCTCTCTGGAACACAGGGACGTGGGGTGAGGGGTTGCCAGGCTGGCAGGGAGGGGGGACGGAGCTGGGGGGGAGATCCTGGGAGTCCCTGTGCAGGGAGCAGGGGGGCACATGGGATCGGGAAATGCAGGGAGGGTGGGCACAGGCACAGAGGGTCATGGCCGGGGCACAGAGCAGGGTCCTCGCAGAGGCCACGTGGCTGTGGCATCCCCCATGATGAGGGACAGATGGGGGTTTGTCCCTGGACATTCACATCCTTCTCTGAGCTGGAATCCAGCCATCAGTGGGGGTTGGAGCAGGAACCACAGACTGGTTTGGGTTGGAAGGCACCTCAAAGTTCATCTCAATCCAGCCTCCACGCCATGGGCAGGGACACCTTCCACTAGCCCAGGTTGCTCCAAGCCCTGTCCAACCCGGCCTTGGACACTTCCAGGGACCCAGGGGCAGCCACAGCTTCTCTGGGCAACCTGTGCCAGGGCCTCATCACCCTCTCAGCCAATGATTTCTCCCCAGTATCCCCATGTAACCCTCCCCTCTGACAATGGGAAGCCATTCCCTGTGTCCTGTCCCTCCATCCCTTGTCCCCAGTCCCTCTCCAGCTCTCCTGGAGCCCCTTTAGGCCCTGTAAGGGGCTCTCAGGTCTCCCTGGATCCTTCTCTTCTCCAGGTGAACCCCCCCAGCTCTCCCAGCCTGGCTCCAGAGCAGAGGGGCTCCAGCCCTGGGAGCATTTCTGTGGAGGGGAGATGAGGCAGTGGTGGTGGAGCAGAGCTCCCTGTGAGCCTGTGCCAGGCAGGAGCCTCTCGGCAGCCGGGCAGCACCGGCAAACCAGGCAATAAATATTGCAGTGGCAGCAGGGCTGGCTCTCCACGGCCCCGCCACACCCGCCATCCATTATTCAACACGTTTCCCTCTATAAATACAGAAGTGAATAATTGATGGGGCTCAGCCCCCTCCCCCTGCCCCAGCTGGTGCCTGGTGTGGGGCCCTGCTGGAGTGCTCCTGTCCTGTTTGCCAGTGCTGTGCCAAACGCCGTGAAAGAGCTGGCTCCTGGTGGCCCCTGGGGACACGATGAGGAGCTGGAGTACAGGAAAGGGCTTTCAGTGCATGGATCAGGGGACAGGGACATGGCCCTGAAGCCTTGGGGGATGCCTGGAATGTCCATCCATCAGTATGTGATGGAACCTGAGGAACCTCTTCGTTGCCAGCTCCCCCTGGACTGGCGATAAAATCAAGGGAATTATTTTAGCTGCTTTATTTGGGATGAATATGGCCAGGGTCTGATGAGGGGGCACCAAGGGAGGAGCATCCTGCCTGGTAACACTCCTCTGTGGGCTCTGAGGATGCTCCATGAAGCCTCGGGGAAGTGGTTGTTGAGAGGGATGCAGCCCAGATCGCCTTCTGCCCCCAGCCCATCGCTGTCCCCCTCACAGCGTCCCTGGCCTCATCCAGCTCTCCTGGAGCGAGCAGGGAGGGAGCAGCCATGCAAACAAGAGCTCAGGAGAGCAGGCAGCTGCCAGTGGCACAGCTGGCAAACCCCGTGGGATGCACAGCACGTGGCATCTCCTGAGGACACGGTTCCCAGCACAGCCGTGGGACGGGGCCGGTGCGAGCTGCTGAAGCCTCTCCCGTGGTGGGAGTGGCAGTGGTGTGGAGGTGCCAGCAGACAGCCCGACTCAGGAGAGATCCCATCCTCCAGGGATGAGCCCAGCCCCGTGCAGACAGTCTGGTGCCACTCCCGACTTGGATGCAGCTGCTGCTGCCTCCACTCCTGCTGCCCGACAGCGGAGCTGGGCCCTCGGTGCTTGGACATGAGTTAAATTTGCTTAAAAGCAGGAGAAGAGGAGAGGAAAGAAGGAAGAAACTTAAAACCAGAGACTGGATTCTTGGCAGCAGTTGGGGAAGCAAACAGAACGTGCACCAGGGTGTCTCACACAGCACAAATCCCAGCAGATAATTACAGGGTGGCACAGAAAGGCTGTTTATCCAGCACAGAGCCCACAGCCAGAGCCATTCAGCACCCTGGTTGTCCCCAGGGAGAGGGCAGGTGGTGACAGAGGGGCAGCCCGGGGCCTTGGCAGCCCAAGGGGATGGTCATGGGAGGAGACAGATGCTGACAAGTCGCCGGACTGAACTACAGCCAGCAGGAGGTTTTGGTAACAGATACAACCAACTCAGACCTGGGCTGGTCCCTGAGGCCACGCTCAGGGGGGACTCAGTGGATCCAGCAGCTTTCCCAGCCCTGCCTTGGGAAGCTGAGCCAGGTCCCTGCTGCCCCAGGCACTGAGGCTGCCTGTCTGGAGCACAGAAATCCTGAACCTTGAGTGAGCTGGGAAGTCACTTCAAATAAAAAGATGAACAGAGATTCGGGCCTCTGGGCACAGGTGGCTCCAGACAGTGGCGGTTGGGAGGCTGGGCAGGCATTTCTTTCTGGGAAAATGGACAGGCAAGGATTTGGGTGTTCCTACCACCCCCAGGAGCAGGCCTGTGCTGGGGAAAGACCCAGTGTGGAGAAGGTGGGCTGGGGACACACACCGGGGAGGGGAGTGGGTCCAAGAGCTGTTCTCTCCTCTATCTCTGACAGCACTGGGATCTGCCCTCCCTTGCTGCAGGAAAGCCCCTGCCTGCAGCCAAGCAGCCCCCCAGGCTCCTGCACCCCAGGGCTGAGGCCACATTCCTCCAACATAGAAAATGCAACTCCCACATCCCATGGAGATTCCAACTGCTGTGTGCTGGGACACCCAGGGCACACCCTGTCCTGCCCCAGGTCCTCCCAACCCGTGGAGACAGCGGATGGACAGTGGCACACAAATCTGTCTGCCTTGGAGGTGTCAGTACAGATCTACTCTGATTTCCAGTAGCTCCATGAGCCCCTTCATAAGCTTTTTGACCACCCCAAAGCAGCAGGAGAGCAGAGATTTGGCCTTCACTCCCTGACATCTCACTGTTTGCAGATTGCATGACTGGGCCAGCCATCATCATCAGGATTGTTCAGCGCTTGGTACAACCATCCTTGCTCTGGGATCTCACAGGAGCAGCCCGGATCTGTAACCCCATAACAAGCCCCCTTTGCTCTTGCAGGCTCATGTGGAAACGTCTTCCAGCAGTGGAGTGGTATTTCCCAACACACAGTGGGAGTAAACCTGACAAAAGCAAAGGTCAAAGTCCTTCAGCTTCCAAATCCACTCCAGGGTGCACATTTCACAGGAGACGTCACTGCCAGAGAAGTCACTTCATTCAGGAGGGTTTTGTCACCCACAATAAGTGATGATGCAGTGCTGGGGGGCGGATTTGACGCAGGAAGGGAGAGGAAAACGGGGCTCTGAGAGCCTGTCATCACAAACATTGCACAGACAGTGAGGATGATGGGGTGAACAGGACGGAAGCTGCCAGGAAGGCAGAGCTTGTCCAAGGTGCTGGAGAGTTTACCAGCAGTTGGTAGTGAGGAGGGATGAGGGCCTCAAAATTGGCAGGACGGCCTGTCACCCTGAGAGGGTGTTGCCTGGGAAATTCCAGGCTCCTGGATCAGACAGCTGCGGTCAGGCTCGGGGGCGAGCTCTGGGGCAGCTGTGGATCGGAGAGGCCACGAGACACGCGGGACTGGCCGGCGAGGAGCCGCCGGGACCCCGGTCAGCACGGCGGAGAGCGGCGGGCCCCGGGCAGCACCGCGGACAGCGGCCCGGGCAGCACCGCGGACAGCGGCACAGCCCGCCCGTCCCGCCCCGAGCCGCGCATCCCGCAAGGGAACCCGCAAACCTGCCCCTGGGGACCCTCCTCAGCCAGCCCCGTGAGGGTATTGCCCTGCCAGGTCCCTGTGAGCATCCGCTATGGCCCTGCCAGGGCCCTGCGAGGATCCACCATTGCTCTGTCAGGTACCTGTAAGAGATCCTGCTATCATCCCACCGGGACCCTGGGATGATCCGCTACGGCCCTGCCAGGTCCTTGTAAGAGAGCCTACTATTAGCCCACCAGGTCCCTGAGAGGATCTACTATTGCCCTGACAACTCCCTGTGAGGATTCACTATTGCCCCACCTGCTCCCCGTGAGACCCTCCTATCACCCTGCGAGGTCCCTGCAGCCCCCACTGCTGCCCCCCCGGCCTGCCCTGCCCCCCTGTTATTGCCCTGCCAGGATCCAAAGCTGCTGTGGAGTGATTTCTGAGGAGCCCCTGCTCCAGCTACACGGCAACGAGGAGCCATCGCTACCGGCTGCCTGCACACACACACACACACACACACACACACACACACACGCACACACTCACAGGGACACACACGGACATGCACAGGAGCCTCGGGAGTGAGTGGATACCCCTGCACAGGCCGTGGTGCTCACACACACACACAAATACACAGACACACACAGACACACACAGATACACACACACAAATGCACAGACACAAACACAGACACACAGATAGATACAGCCATCCTTGCACATGAACACACAGACACACAGACCCACAGAAACACACACACAGACACAAACACAGACAGA